CTTGCCCAGGTTCTGGGCTGCAGGAACCTGGAGACCATGGCCCCAGCCTGCCTTCCTGCCACCGATGAACCTCTCCCGTGGGGCCGCCTTCCCTAGAACCCGCTTCTAGGCGCCCTCTCCCCTAACCCTGCTGTTTTATAGATGGCAGCAAGGCAGGGTCAGGTCCCAGCACTGCCCTTTACGAGTCACATTACCTTGGGCAATCACTTCAGTGGAGACTTAGTTGCTCCATCATTAAAATGGGGATAATAACTACCTGTAGAATTGTCCACATAAGTGAGATTATGTATATAAAGTGCCAAAGATGAGTATTTTTCAAACTGTTATGACTAACATAACTCACATTAGGAAGTGCATCTTCTATTGTGGTATAATAATAACAACAATAAAAATTCTGTGTGGCCAGGTATGTTCCAAATACTTTATATATTTACTTCATTTAACCCTTAGAGCAACCCTAAAATGGGGGTGACCCCCATTTAACAGATGAGGAAACTGAAACACCAGAGTTGTATAATCTACCAAAAGTCACAAATAGTAAGTGGGGAAGCCCACTTTTAAACCCGAAGTCTATATTTAATACCATGTGTAACGATGCCTTTCCACAGTACACATTTATTTTATATGCACATATATCATGGAATTGGAATAAGAACTATAGTTCTTACTGTTACTATTATGTAGTCTGTTCTGTTTCATTTACTTTTTTATCCTCCCCCGAGGACATTTTTTTTTTTTTTTTCATTTATCTTCAGATAGAGCAGGAGGGAGAGAGGGGGTAAAGAGAGAGAGAAACATTGATGTGAGAGAGACACATCTACTGGTTGACACCCACATGACCCCAATCGGGGCTGAGACAAACTGCAACCAAGGTACGTGCCCAGGAACCGAACTTAGGACTCTCTGGTCCGCGGACCAATGCTGTAACCACTGAGCCAAACCGGCCAGGGCTACTCTCCCCCACTTTTATTGGTTTTAGAGAGAGAGGAAGTGAGAGGGGGAGAGATAGAAACATCGACGAGAGAAAACATCGATTCATTTACTTTTTTAAATGCTGTTTATTACCCAAGAAACTAATTTTATGACTCACTAACAAGTCATAGCCTACAGTTTACATTACATTGCCTTGCACATGTGGATGGTGGCTAATATGCAGGGCCCAATGCAGTGACAGCCATGCGCCAGAGTTGGCACCCTGAGGATTACTGGAGGCTCCAGGGCTCTTCTGTCCTCCTCTCTTCCCCTTGCTCGTGGTCCCATGTATTCTTTGCCTGCTGTCAGTCATTCTGCAGACCTTTACTGGTGCTACCCGGCGCCTGGCACTGGGCAGTCCCCATATAGAGACATAGGATAGTAAGGATGCAAGGATCCTGCCTTCAAGGGCAAGCAAGCCAAAAAAGAAAGATTAGAGGACAGTGTAGTTGGTGGGCCAGCAGAGAAGGGGCTCACTGTGTTTGGGGATCTGGGACGGCCTTAGAGAGGAGGACAGGCTTGAGTTGGGGATCAGTAGACAAGGCAGAGAGGACAGTGTGCAAAGGCTATGGAGGAGAACCTGTGGGGCATGTGCATTTGGGAAATAAGAAGTAGTCCAGTATGGCTGGGGAAGGGGAGGGCAGAAATGTGGAGGGCCTCCAGTACCTGGACTTTATCCTGGAGGTGATAGGGAGCCAATGGAGATGTAAAAGCAGGAGAAAAACCCTGGATGCTGCGTGGAGGGGAGACTGGGTGAGATTGAAGGCTAGTTAGGAGACCAGGTAAGAGATCCTGATGGAGTTGGGCTAAGACAGTGGCAATGGGAATGGATAAACAAGAGTGAGTTCTGGGACAGTTTCTGAGTTCAAATTGAGGACCAGTTGGAAGTGAAGTTGAAGACTCCAAGGTTTTTAGCTTGGACAGAGGGATCTGGTAGGGCTCCCTATGCCAGGCTGGGGAGCAGAACAAAAGTGTGGGGCCCACTTGGGGAGGAGACAGAGAATTTGATTGGAGGCATTGCCTTCTTGGCTCTCTAGCCCACCCTTCCTCACCCCACCTTTCGATTTGTAGATTTCTCATATGGCCAAAGTCCGGCCCTTTCCCAATCATCTGGGTTTGCATAAGTCAGAGTGACTTCATGCTCATTTGAGGGTAAAAGGCAAACTGTCTCTTCCCAGCTTAACTGGTGACAAAGTAAGGTGACAGCTTCTGAAACAGTTTTGGTGTGAGCTCTTCTCTGGCATTGACTCACCCAGAGCTAAGCTTGGTTTATAACTGCAGGTCCCAACTTCTTGCACTTCTGCTGCGTTTCATTTTTACAGACGCTCAAGCTCACATGTGTTCATTGCTAAACCCCGAGTGAGGCTTCCCCAGCACCTAATGCTGTGTGTGCTGGGCAAGGAAGAACAGGTGAGGTAGCAAGGACGCCAGCCCTGCCTGCAGGGGACGCCACAGCCTGGGGAGGACACACAGTCACGCCCCCTGCAGCACTGGCCCAGGCCTGCAGCATGCACCGGCTCCCTTTCTGAGTAGGTGAATTAAGACCATCCAAGCCCTGGCCGGTTTGGCTCAGCGGTTAGAGCGTGGGCCCGCAGACCAGAGAGACCCGGGCTCGGTTCCCGCTAAGGGCACGCACCTCAGTTGCAGTTTGTCCCCGCCCAGTTGGGGTCGGGTGAGTGGCAACCACTCGATGTGTCTCTCTCACGTGGATGTTTCTCTCTCTCTTCCTCCTGCTCCATCTGAAAATAAATGCAAAAAAATGTTCTCAGGTGAGAATTGAAAAAAAGAAAAAGACCGACCGGAAACTTGAGAGGCACCAAGAGCCGGCTTTAGGAACTAGCCCAACTCCTGAGACCTGAGAGGTGGTGGTGTTCTTTCTACCGTGTGCGCCACAGCTGCCGCCCACCTGCTTTTCCTCCTCCTGCTCTTCAGAGAGTGGAAAGGAGTCCCTGTTCTTCATTTAACAATCCTCACTCTGTCAGAAAGGCCTTGAAGTAGCATACTGGCTGCAGGAGTCACAGGGAAACAAGCTCCGAGACCTCACTTTCCACCCTGGCTGGGTGCTCAGCTAGGTGGAGCATGGTCCCTTGCACCAAAAGGTTGTGGGTTCAGTCCTGGGTCGGGGCATGAATGGGAAGCAACCAATTCATGTTTCTCACATTGATGTTCCCCGCCCCCCATTCCCTCTCTTTCTAAAAATCAATAAGAACATATCCTCTAGTGAGGATTTAAAATTATATATATATATAAATATCTCACTTTCCATATTGCAGTGGGAGACAGGTAGCCGGGTGGGAACAAGGTATTTACTAACATTAGTTTGAAAGGCATTTCTCTGTAAGAGCACAGTGAGCGGCATGGGGATAGTGTGTAACACTGACTAGAGATAGTGGGTAACAGCCTCAGTCACTCAGTGTGCCAGCTAGGGAAGGTAGCTTAGGGAGTGGCTAAACCAGTGCATGCAGAGGTATAATTTAATTTTTTTCTTTTTATTGATTTTAGAGAGAGAGGAAGGGAGAGGGAGAGAGATAGAAACATCAGTGAGAGAGAACATCGATTGACCGCCTCCTGCATGCCCCCCACTGAGGATTGGGCCCACAGCCTGGGCATGTGCCCTGACCAGGAATTGAACCAGACTGGGAATCGAACCAGTGACCTCTTGGTGCATGGGTTGATGTTCAACCACTGAGCCACACCAGCCAGGCGTACTTTATTACTCCAAGGGCCAAATGATTCACGGGCTGAAATGTCAAGTGCCTGGAGGAGAGCGTGAATGCCTAGTCCATCTTTCCGAGCCAGGCACTGGGGCCTGGGCAGTAGACCACTTGCTGGTGGGCACCTGCAACGTGGCTGTTGGTCCATGTTGCTGAGTGTTTGGTCTTGACACATTGCAGGAGTGTCAGCTGTCCCTCCTCACCCCTGACACAGACCACCTAGAGTTGGGCACAGAAGCCATGTGCCTGAGAAGCTAATGTCTATTACCCTGATCCTCCTGTTGCAGCACCGCCGCACTGCGTCCTGGCAGAGGCATGCCGAGGCAGCAGGGCTGCTGCAGGCTCCTTCTGCTGGAGGTGGGCAGAGGCAAGGGTATGGGTAGGCAGCTCCTGCTAGTTCCACCTGGATTGTGCCCTGGGCTTAGCTGCTTTGTGTCTAGCTTTGCAAACACAACTCCAACTATTTGAGCAAGAGAGAAGGCCCAAAAATAATTATTTTTTTCCCTTGTCTTTGTACAATGTCTCCCTGATCGAATAATGGCACTGAATTTGTATGCAGCAGTATTGGAGTATTTTAAAGGGTGCACAGCATTTTAGCCCCTTACTACTGGCCAGCAGGGAGGTACTGAGGTTGGGAGGAGGAAGGTTAGAGCTTGGCTGAACTCGACAGGATGTCAGCCAGAAAGAAGGCCTTCCTTAGCTGTCGCAGGTGAAGTAGGCTTGGGGTGGCACCATCCCTGAGCATTGCTGCCAGGGAATCTCTAGAACATGGAATTACATTCCTCTCCTGGAGATTCACAATGCCAATTAAAGTATCAAAGGCTCTGCTAAGTTCTGCAAACAATTTCTTTAACTCAGTATTTCACAAACTTGCTTGGTAGTGGAATATGTTTACATGCTGGTTCTCAAGTCTGGCTGCACCTAAAGGTTTTGGTTTAATTAGGGGTGGAGCTTGGACACTGATATTGATTTAAGTTTTTATTTTTTACATAATTTCAGACTTGTATTTAAATGTAGTATTTTATCACATCTGCTTTATCGTTCTTTATATACACATACATTTTTTTCTGAACCCTTTACATTGCAGACATGATGCCCCTTGACCTCCAAATACATCAGTCAGTATTTCCTAAAAACAAGGACATTCCTTTTTTTTACTAGAATTTTTTTATTAATAGCTAAATCACAACTTTACATTCTAAAGGGACCAAATGAGAGATGTAGAATAGTTAAAATGCAAAAATAGAAAAGAATGCCCAAAAGATCAGTTATATTGGAATAGAATTGTAGTAATCATTAAAGAGTCAAGTGTGTTCAACCCAGTGTCACAGGAAGGATGTGGCTGTAGCAGAGCCATTCACACGGATTCCGAATGCCAGTCAGAAGGTGTTTCTTATCTGGAGCTACCATGATTTCGTGTTCTCGATCCGCCCCCGAGAAAGGTGAGGGTGCTCTGAGGATCTTGGCTGGCATCGTCAGCTGAGGAAGAAAACCTGCACATTGAATTGCTGAGTTGTCCAAGGTTTGGATCAGAATACCTTTTGCATCCACGACCACTGTTCTGATTACCCCTTTATGGCTCTGTGTTCTCATTAGAGTCTCCGCCACCTCTGACAGTGTTTTTAATCCATTGGGAACTTTCTTTTGTGGTCATTATTTTTCAAGAGCTCTGAGTTGCTGAAAAATTGCAGGTGGTAGCGATGGAGATTCTACAAAGTTCCCAAGGACATTTTTTTTTTTTTAATTTTTAATTAAATTTAAAGAGAGAGGGGAGAGGAAGAGAGAGAAACATTGATGAGAGAGCAAAACATCAATTGGCTGCCTCCTGCACACTTCCTACCTGGGATTGAGCCCGCAACCTGGGCATGTGCCCTAACCAGGAATTAAGTTAGCAACCTTTTGGTGCATGGGACTGACCAGGACTCGTTTGTTTGATTGTTTGTTATTGTTTGCCCAAGGATACTTTTATGTAACCATGGTACATTTCTCAAAATCAGGACTGAAATAAAACTATTAACTAATCTACAGATCTTATTCAAATTTCATCTCCTTAGTAGCTAAAGAAATTTTTTCTAGTGCAGATTACCATTGCATTTAGTTATCACACGTCTTCAGTCTCCTTCCATCTGAAACAATTCCCAGGCTGCCTTTACCTTTCATGAGTTTGATATTTTGACGATCGTAGGCCAATGATTTTGTTGAATGCCCCTCAATATGGTTTGTCTGACATTCCCTTGATTAGATTCAGGTTTTATACTTTGAGCAATAATAGCGTGGAAGTGATGTCTTCGGTGCATCAGATGAGAAGACACTGTCCCATTGGTTAAGGGGGTCTCTTCCAGGTTTCTCCTGTGTCAAGTTACTGCTATTTTCCATTGTGTCATCAATACGTATCTTCTGGGAGATACTCTGAGACTGTCTAAATATCCCACTTCATATCAGACCCACTAGTTTTGGCATCTGTTTATGATTCTTGCTTAAAACATTGGGATTTTTTTAGGCTCCCCAGGGGATTCTGATGTCCAGCTCAGGTTGAGAACCACTCCATTAATATCTCACAGAATACAGCTTAGGACATGCTACGTAAACCCGTGTCCTCCAGATAGGCCCTGCAGCAATGATCAGACTCAGGTTCCCTTCGGCCTGGTCTTTATTCCTCTGCTTTCCTGGATGCCTGATTGCCCCATGCCCCTGCTCACAAACCTGCAGTGGCTCCGGCTGCCTCCTCCCTGCATCCTAGACCAGCACACTTAACGCTGATGCTCTGAGCATACTGGGCAGGCTGTTGGCTGCTCCCTACCCCATCTTCTGGCCTCTGCCTGATGAATTCCACAAGTCACACCCTGTGGGACACCCACTGGGACACCTTCTGTGACCCTGTATTTGCTGTGTCCTCAGCTCCCTCCTACTGAATGCAGGCCTTCAGAACCATGTGGGCATTTACTAAAGGTTTGCTAGTGGCATGGACTGGAGACTGGCCCAAGTGAGCATATAGAGTCTGTTGCTTATTGATGTTGAAATATGCTTTAGGGAGCCCGGCCAGAGTGGCTCAGTTGGCTGAGCATCATCCTGTGCACTGAAAGGTTGGCAGTTTGATTCGCAGTCAGAGCAAATACCTGGGTTGTGGGTTCGGTCCCCAGTCAGGGAGTGTATGGAAGGCAACCAGTGGGTGTTTCTCTCTCTCCCTCTCCCTGTCTCTAAGCATGTCCTCAGGTGAGCATTACATATATGTGTTAGGGAAGAGGATTCCCCAAGGTCTAGGCTGAAGAAGCCTTCCCCTGGCAAGGATTTGTGTTGGCTTCTGCCGGGTTGCTTGGGCTGCAGTCAGTATGGAACCCCATCAACTAACTGCAGAGGTTCCTGGGGCAGCGGTCTTTCAAGGATGAGTTCCCTCCACCCCAAGCCCTGCTCTGAGCCAGCAACTCCCACAGTGCTCTGCATTGCCTCCTTTCACATGTCCCACCGTGGGCAGGCCCCAGGTGTTTCTTGTGTTCCAAATCTCAAGAGGTTGTTGGAAGCTACCCATGCCCAGCAACATTTCTTCAGGATTTGTCAGATGTACTCAGGCAAGGCAGCTGTCTGCCTTGCTTACCTATCTAGGATCCTCTTAGGTTTTTTGGCCTTTACTTCCTCCTGTCTCATCAGTTTTTTTATGCTTTTAAGATCAAAAGCCACCTGTGTAGGATTCATAGTTTTTGGCAAGAAGCTTGGTCTACATTCTTAACCAGAAGAGAAGCCTCTGCTTTGTGCTCCATCCAGACCTCTTCTTTCCCTTCTCCCCACCCTCAGCATCCTCCGGAAAGCCCTAGATAAGATTGCGGAAATCAAGTCTCTGTTGGAAGAGAGGCGGATCGGTGAGTTAGAGACGTCAAGTTAGTGCGGTGTTCCCTGACCAGGAGTGAGGGTTCCTGAGAGCAGCAGTCATGTCTTCTGCGGTGGGGAGCCTGTAACCTCCGCCTGGTGTGATCAATGGATCCGTGGGTTTGGACAGAGACACACCAGGGCAGCCTGGGACTGGGAAGGAAATAGAAGTCATCCCCAAGGCTCAGAGGCAGGGCCTCCCCATTCTCCTTCTGCAGACCACAGTGATTGGCCACAGTCCCTCCTCCACTGCCTAGGGCAGTCACCCCAGCTTCCTACTGCCCTCACTCCCATTTCTTGCCGTGGTGAGAACCTGGCTGTTACTGAGAGCCACACTGGGGTGTCTTGAAGCCAGCCTTTCAGATGGAGTCTACACAGGGTGCTGGCTTCCAAATCCCTGCAGACTGCTTTCCCACCAGCTCTGCCCTTTCAGTGAACCCACAATGGGCAACTCCTGGCTCATTGAAATTGTCACACTGCCAGCTGGGTTTGAAGTTGACTGGGTGTTGAGCCATGCCTGAGGAGGTAAGGGCTCTGCCATATTTGATAGTTCTTTTAACTTTTTGTTTAATTACTACGTATTAATAGAAAATACATGTAAGCATACATACAGCTCAATAAAATTTTCACTAACTGAACAAATGGATGTAACCGGCACCCAGATCAAGAAACAACTTGACCAGCACCTCAGAATCCCCCTTTTGCCCTTTCTAGTTCCTTCCCCCAAAGGTATCCACTCAACTGCCGTCTCAACACCTGTTAGTGTCACCTGCAGTGTCTCAGCATGGGCATCTCGTGGAGGGTCAGAGATCACATCGGGGCCCTTGGTGCTAACTGGAGAGGTGGGGTGAGCTCTGGTAGCTTAGTGCAGGCATGTTAGGAGGGCCTAGGGACAGGCACCCATCCCTGGTGCCTCAGGGGCTCACTTCCTTCCCACAGCGGCCAAGATCGCGGGCCTGTACAATGATTCGGAGCCCCCTCGGAAGACCATGCGCAGGGGGGTGCTGATGACTCTGCTTCAGCAGTCAGCCATGACCCTGCCGCTGTGGATCGGGAAGCCTGGTGACAAGTGAGGGCAGGCCCAGGGAGGGGGAGCTGGTAAGGGAGAGGCTGGGACTAACACTGTTTTACTGTATTCTACCCTCAGGCCACCCCCACTCTGTGGTGCCATTCCAGCCTCTGGGGACTACGTGGCCAAACCTGGAGACAAGGTGGCTGCCCGGGTGAAGGCTGTGGATGGGGATGAGCAGTGGATCCTGGCCGAGGTGGTCAGTTACAGCCATGCCACCAACAAGTGAGTGGACACACCCAGCCCTACGGGAACTGGGATGGCATGTGAAGGGCCAGCTGCTTAGGCTACTTCCCCTCCCTGCCCTCCTTGGTCCCCGGCCTGGGCTGGGCACCTTCCTGCATCCACTGTTCTTCTGCTCACCCACAGGTACGAGGTCGATGACATTGATGAAGAAGGCAAAGAGTGAGTGTGCTGGCCAGGGAGGGGCAAGGGAACCCTGGGGACAGCCATGCTGCTGGGAAAGCCCCACCAAGCCATGGGTTGACCTAAGCGCCCCTTCAGGAGACACACCCTGAGCCGGCGACGTATCATCCCACTGCCCCAGTGGAAGGCCAACCCTGAGACGGACCCCGAAGCCTTATTCCAGAAGGAGCAGCTCGTGCTGGCTCTGTATCCCCAGACCACCTGCTTCTACCGTGCCCTGATCCACACCCCCCCCCAACGGGTAAGGCAATCCCCGTGGGAGAGACCGTCCATGACTCCAGGACCACCAGGCTGACCAGCCAGGTCATGGGGTCATCTTCCCACTTCCTTCCTCTCTTGTCCTCGTCTTACAGCCCCTTTGCGCTGGGAGGGTCTTGTGCGCCGCCCTCCCCTGCTGAGTGGAGCAGCCGCAATGTGTCCTCTAGTCTAACCCCTTTCGCATTGACATGGGGAGCCTGAACCCTGTGACAGAAGTGCCATGCTCAGGGCCCAGCCCCCGACTCCTGCCCCACTGCCCTTTCCTTGCTTTTCCTCAAGTTTGTGACACTGCTGCTGGCACCGTGGTCACCCCTCAGTGATGGCAGTTTAAAGACTATTCTCCCCTCTTCCTCCAGGATTTCTGCCTGCTGCCCTCTGAGCTGTCCTGCCTCCCCTTAATGTAGAGTCCCCGAAAGGCCACAGCCCCTTCAGATGTGGCCTGTATAGGTAGCGAGTCCCCTTTGCCTTGCTCTGCATCCCCTGTCCTCGGCACTTTGTTGCTGAGAACTCTGTAGTCATAGGGAGTGGGTTCAAACATCTAGACTTCTCGAGTGAAGACGAGACAGGAAAGGCTAGGAGCCCGCACACCAGAGGTTCCTATTGGTCTAGGCTTGGGGGGGTCTGTGCCTGGGGGTTTCTGACCAGCCCTCCTGTCTGCCTCCTGCCGCAGCCCCAGGATGACTACTCGGTCCTGTTTGAAGACACTTCCTATGCAGATGGGTACTCCCCTCCCCTCAATGTGGCCCAGAGGTACGTGGTGGCTTGTAAGGAACCCAAGAAAAAGTGATGCAGGCTGACAGGCTCGCAGTCTCCTGCCACCCTCTCTGGGGGAATGCAACAAAAGATTATGTGGTCAAATAAATATTCTTCCCCTTGGCCCATGGCTCCTGAGTTTTAGTTTTCTAGACTGTTCTTACCCCTCCCCACATAGGGCAAGTTGGGGAACTGGGAGCCTCATTTGGTCCCAGTGGGCATTTACTCTCTTGTAGCTCAGGTTTGCTTTGCTCCCAATAGAGGCACTCACTCCACTCAACACAAAATGGATTTATTCTTGAGGCCGCTGTCAGGCTGCTTTCACACGTCTCCCTTGTGGGAGTGGTTCCCACGAACACCACTCACTGCTCCGAGCGGAACTTCAGGCTGCAGCCTGCCATCTTCTGAGCGTAGTCGGCATCAAAGCGCTCATTCTGGGCCACCGTGAACATGGTTTTCCAGTCCCCTATGATGCCTGGGGAGGTGGGAGGGAAGGAGGGAGGCTAGAGGTCCTGGCCACAGGGGAGGCCCCAAGTGGCTCGGGCCAGCTCAAGCCGCTGCTCCTGCCCTTGCCCCCAGACGCCCATCCTGAAGGGCACTCACCTTTCCTCATGAAGGCGGAGATGCTGTGGTCCATGATTTCAATGGGTATGTTGCTGTAGTTAGCCATGGGGTTCTTCTTCATCTCCTTGAATGACGTGTGCTGCACAATGTGATCCACAGTCTCCTCTGACAGGGAACGTCCCACAAACTCCAGGATCTTCTTAATCTCCCTTTTGGGGTTCTGGAGTAGCACCAGGGCTTTCAGTGGAGGTTTGGGTTCACTGAACAAACAAAAGGGAGGCCCCTCTCTAATCTCATGGCTGCCTCCAACCCTGCTGCTTGACTCTGGTCCTCTGTACTCTGGCACTCTTGGGGTAAAGCTCATTGCCTTCTGCCTGTGATCTTTCATAAGCTGTGTCTGATTCCTTGTGAGTGAGGGCAGGGACAGTCCTCAGCATAACCATGGCCCCAGGGAGAAGCAAAAGCAGTAAATGGATGATCAGTGGCTGCACGCGGCACGGACTCGGCGCAGAAGATAAGAGCTGCACGGTGTGCTGTCCAGGGGGCACAAGCTCTGGGCAGAGAAGGTGAGGTGGGGGGTCTAGGAGAACCAGTGTGGGGTCTGCCACAGGGAAGGGGTGCTTAGAGGGCCTTGGCAGGTCCCCAAGAGGCTCCTGCCACCTCACGTGCAACATAGAGGGAAGTGGTAACAGGTGGTCTCACCTCCTTTATGTCCTCATAGAAGAGGTAGAGAACAGGGTGGGTGTGTCTCAGCTCCCACCACTCTTGCACATGCTGGTACCAGGACCCATAGGACACTGGGGGAAAGGGCAGGGCACACAAACAGAGGTTGGTTAGTTAACTGGCTGCCCCTCAGCTCCACCCCCTCCTTCCTCTAGAGTCGGCCCACCTTCCCCAGCCATGAACTTCTCCAGGAAGCAGTCCCAGGTGCCAGGGTCAGGGTGCACCTTGGCCATGCGGTAGAAGTGGTAAAAAGAGACAGCCACGTCCTTTGCATTTCGGGCAACATAGACCACCTGGAGAGACAGGAAGACACCCCCCCACCCCCACACCGCGTCATCACCACACAGCACACCAGGCACTAGGCGTTCTTCCACCCTTCACAGTATCCCTGCAGGGAAGGTTCTCTCTTAGTTTGGCCAAGAGGTAAACAAGCTTAGAAGCTGACTTGCTCAAGGTCCATGGTACGGGTGTGACTGAGCTAGCATCTGAACCCTGTCCTGACGCCAGAGTCCTGGCTGCTCCCGGGAGCTGTATCTTATACTAAGCCAATCCTCTCGGTGCCACTATACCCAGATTTGGAACAAGGTGTGCAGAGTTTCTTCCAGCCCCCTCCTCCACAGGCCTGTGAGCATCCAGGCCCTGCAAAGTCTCCCTTTTACTGGCCATCTGACCTCACTGGAGCATGAGGTTGAGGACCTCTCCCTCTTTAAGATGAGATCAGGCTTGAAGTAAGGACACCTTCCCAGAAGATAAGGCCAAAGCTGGAATGGCCCCAGCAACCCTTTTCTCTAGCTTCCTGTGCCACTCACCTTGACCTGATCCAGCAGGGCCTGGGGGAGCAGAGCCAGGGGCAAGTGTGTCTTGAGGAGCCGTGGGGCTGGTGTATCTTTCAGAACCTCAAGACCTAAGTCATGGGTAGGGAAAGGTCTGGTGAGCTGGAGCCCAGGTCCTACCTCCCTCCACCTCACTTGTCCCCAGCACCCCATCACACACCTGTGGGACACCCTGGACCCTTGAACTCAAGGAAGGGCACCCGGGTAAGGATGGAGCCCCTTCGACATTTCTCCAAGTCGCCACCCTGGTAGATCATGTCCAGGATCTCACTCACCCAGGTGGTGCCTGGAGAGGAAAAGGGAAGGTGAGCAGGGCTGAGGGCACGCCCATGCTGGCCTAAGGTGGGGACTGCAGCCCAGGAGGGGTGGGCAGTCCTCATCACCTACCAGATTTGGGGTAGGTGCTGATGAGCAGGTCATCAGGCCTGGGTTGGAAGCTCTGCAGTGGCCCAATTGTCTCTGCAAAGTACTTGATGAGAGGGATCCCCTTCACATACTCCAGTGGTGGGCGGGAGGTGTCCTGGACCAGTTCCATGCTGCCGAGTCGGGCCAAAGTGGGGCTTACCTCCCTTAACAACATTACAACATCTGTTAAATTCCTGTTTGTTTTAAGATAAGGAAACAGGCTGAGGGAGGCTGGGCACCTTGCCCACACTCACAGAGCTAGTTGAATGCTGGACTGGATTCCCAGCCAGATCTAGTGCAGTGAGCCACAACTCTGGCTGCACCTTGGATTTACCTGCAGTATTTAAAAATCCCAGTGCCCGGGCCACACCCCAAACCAATTAACTCGCTCTGGTGGTGTGACCACAGATACCCGGGTTTTGGAAGCTCTCCAGATTTCAATGTGAACTTGAGAGAACTACTCTGGGACCTGCCATGTATTCTTGCTTTCATTACCTGCCCCATGGCTCCTCCTAGTCCTTCCCTCCTTGAGCTCCCTGGACCCCTCACATACAGAAGAAACCTCCCAAAAGGCAACTGGTCCTGTGACCCCACTTGCTCAACCACATTCCATCTTGGCTCTGAGATAAACAGACAGTTGAGCAATTGAGCTTGTTTTGGGAGCAGAATCTGGTGTGTGAATGAGCAAAATTGGGATGACTCAGCAAAGGAGGGAAGAGGGATTAAGGCCAGGTTGGAGTTGGTGTCAGATTGAGCTGGGATTTCCATGGGGAAAGGACAGACTCCCTCCCGATTGAGCTGGGATTCCCATGGGGAAAATGCAGGGTCATTACAGGCAGAGATGGAGAGATCAAGCCATAGGAGATAACAGTGCAGGGTGAGGGAGGTCTAGCACTCACCTGACTTCTCCAGACCTTGGCCTAGTGACTGTCTCGTGCTGTTGCTTTGCGTGAGTGCAGTGCAGTGAGTGAAGAACAGCTTCGAGCTGAAAGTCTAATAGGTCCAAAGTAGGAGGGATCTGGAGCCAGCACTGGGATTTTTTGGCTGTCCTCCAGAGGCAAGGGTGGAGTTTGGAGTGGGAGGGTCCCTCTCTGCTACCCTCCTTAGCGCCCCAGCTGGAGCCAAGATTAGACTGGCCTGAAAACCCAAGATGTGGGTTTAGTGTGTAGAAAATAAAAGATCAACTCTAGACAAAGGGGCCTAATAGTTTTCTTTTCTGTTCTTGGTTTTTTTGTTTGTTTTTGTTTTTAGCTATAATCCTGGCTCCTGGCTTGCACTCTAAAGTCTAGCTCTGCAAGCAGGCCAACAGCTTTTCCTAAATGCACCTGGTCTAGAGGACAGCGGAGTGGAGGGAGAGGGTGGCTCCAGGCCAGTCTGAAGATGCCAAGGGTTGGGGGGGCACCCACATTCCAGAGTGATATGGGTGGGCTGGGTGACGGGGTTTGGGACAGGGCGCTGCTAAGCAGGCTGTTTTTGAGGCAGCAGAGGATGGGAAAGAACAAGAACGCTGGAGTCGCATAACATTGAGAGCCCGGTCCACAGTTCCCGTGGGGCCTCACTTGGATGGTGGAAGAACGGCCCCCAGAAAATGCTTTTCTTTCCCTGGGCTTGAAGGGAGCTTGGCCTTTGTCCTTACTATTTGGATTAAAGTCCAAAGTCAAGTTGGGCACTGGAGGTGAGTCAAGGGTGTGAGTCTCCTAAGCCCTCAAGTTCTGAGACCTCAGAGGCAGGCTGCGGAAAGCTGAGGCAGAGGGGCCTCCAGCAGAGGGGAGGCGGGTCCATGTGCGGGTCAGTGGCCCTTCCCTCATCCTCCGTTCTCCTCAGGCCCCAGTGGCTGGCATGGCCTCTGCCTCCTAGTTACACACACACACACACACAAATAGAAGGTACCCTTAACTCAAACTTTTTATTATACTCAAATAAAAACTGCCCAGACCCAAAGGGAGTGGCACAGAAAAGGAATGGGCGGAGGGGTGGGGATGCTGAGGATCAGATCTCCAGCATGTCTGTCCAGTGTTCCTGTGGAGAAGAAAAGGGTGGTCAAAGGCAGCCTAGGGGATAGGGTGGGGTAGAGCCCAAAACCATCGCTCACCTCTTCTAATTCTAAGTCTTCCTCTTCCTCCTCATTGCCCATCCGGCACAGCCAGATCAGGTCTCCCCACAGCAGTGAGTTCTTACAGCTACGAAGGGGTGCAGTTGGTAGGAGACACAGAGTCAGGATCACAAGCCTCCAGATTAGGCCTTGGGTGCCAAGATGAGGACTCAGATGCCCTTGGCCTAGACTTGGACAACTGGGCACTGTGTTCCCAGAGGTAAACCAGGCTGGGGTGGGGATGCTGGACTCACCCAGGGCATTGGCCCTCTAGGGGCAGAAGCTGCCCTGGCTCCTCCTGCAGGAACTCATCTGCCAGGCAGATCATGTGGGCCCTCAGGGAGCAGCCAGGGTGGGGACAACACAGAGGGTCTTCTTCATCCTGTCAGAGGTGGCAGGCAGGGAAGAGAGGAAATGGGGAGTAATTACGTAGCTAACATTCACAAAGAATTTCTATGGACAAGACAATGCTCCAAGGGCTTTGCATAAAACAACTCTGAGGCACGTACTATTATTTGTATATTACGGTACAGATGTGGAAACAGGCATTGAGGGGTTAAAATGCTTGCCCATAGGGACTAAGTTGGCCAATTTTCTCTGAGTATTAGCAGTGATTCTACAACAGTGTGGGCACTGCAGCTAGACCTAGAATTCCTTACAGGCTAAGTGATCTGAAGCAGGCTGCTGAATCTCCGAACGGCAAGTCCAGTCACATGCCACATAACGTTTCAGTCAACAAGGCACCACATATATGATGGAAGAACATCACGTATGTAGTAGGCTATTCCATCTAGTTGTGTGTAAGTGTACTTTATGAGGTTCACACCACAAATTCACCTAAGGACACATTTCTCAGAATGTGTTCCCCTGGTTTGGCAGCATCTGGCTGTTCTCAATTTACTTACAATACTATGAGTGGAAGTCAGACCTATCATCTCAGTTAATACACTAACTGTTTATCTGCCACACCTGCTCTGTACCAGACCCTGTTCTTCAGTACTGAATAAGAACTACCCTTGTGGAGTTTAGTATGGGGGGGTGAGAGAGACTGATAATAAAATAAAATACAGTTGACCCTTGAAGAAACACGGGTTTGAACTGCAGGTATCCACTTACACACGGATTTTTTTTTCCAATAAATACACAGCGGGCCCTCCGTATCCTTGGGTTTTGCATCTGCAGATTCAACCAACCACAAATTAAAAACAGTATTTTTGATCCAGGGCTGGGAATCCACAGATGCAGAGAGCCAACTGTATGTGCTGTTCTATACCATCTTATATAAGGGACTTGAAAATCCGAGGGGGTAGGGAGGCACTGGAACCAATCCCCTATGGATACCCATGGAGGGCTGTTTGGGGGAAGTAAAAAGTTATACATGGCTTTTGCACTGCATTGGGTCAGCACCCCTAACCCTCATGTTGTTCGAGGGTCAACTGTACAGTGACATGTCAAACAGTAAGTGTTAAAGCTTTAAAAAACAAAACAAAACAAAAAAAGAGCCCTGACTGGTGTGGCTCAGTTGGTTGAGCCTTGTCCCATGCACCAAGAAGTTGCTAGTTCTATTTCCATCAGGGCACATGCTGGGTTTCGGGCTCCATCCACAGTAGGGGGCCTGCAGGAGGCAGCTGATGGATATTTCTCTCTCCCTCTCCATTCCTTTCTCTAAAATCAATAAAAACATTAAAAAAAAAAAAAAAGGAAAGCAGGCCCAGTTTGTGTGGCTCAGTGGTTGAGCATTGAACCATGCACCAAGAGGTCACCCGTTTGATTCCGGTCAAGCCACATGCCCAGGTGGTGGGCCAAATCCCCAATGGGGGGCATGCAGGAGGCGGTCAATAGATGTTTCCTCTCATCGATGTTTCTAATTCTCTCTCCCTTTCTCTTCCTCTCTCAAATCAATAAAGGGAAAAAAAATTTTTTAAAGGAAAGCAGTACCAATAAAGTTGCAATTTTAGATAGAGAGCCAAGGAAGACCTCGTGGAGAAGAAATGGCATTTTATCAAGGCTGAAGGTCTAGGGAAGAACTTGCCAGCGAAAGGAGAAAGGCAAGGGCCCCAGCAGGACCCAGCAGGAGGGTACTAATGCTGAGGAATGGCCACAAGTACTATCGTCATCATTTTAGAGATGAAAGTAGAGCAGCCAAAGGATGTCAGTGGGCTGTGCGATCCTTCAATAAACAGCTTGATCCTAAGACGTCTGAACTCCAGACATGCCCCAACCTGGAGACAGCTGGAGCCTCTCACCTGGAGCGAGCGCGTGCACAAGGTGCAGGGGGCCTCAGAGTCCTGGTCCGGCTGGGACTCGGCGTCAGCACATGGATTGGCACGGCGTCTGGAGGTCAAAATCCGGGGTGGCAGAGGCCCGAAGGCTAACGGCACGTGCGGAGGGGGTGGCGGGCAGAGCTCCTGGCGGAAGTCCGCGCGCAGCCAGCGCAGGGTGAGCGGGAGGCGAGCCCAGGGCGGCGCGCGCAGCATGTGCGCCAGCACGCGCAGGTGGAAAGCGAAGGTGGCCTCGCTGCGCAGGCGTGGAGCCACGTGTGCCAGGCGGCGCGAGGCCTGTGGATGCTGCCAGGCCCACTCGAACTACGGGCAGGAGTAAGGGCTTCAGGGCCGCCCAGGGAGGGCCCCAAGCCCCAGCCCATCTTCCCGCCACCCCCCGTCTCCTTCCTTACCCGAAGGGCGGCCACGGCGGAAGGGAAGCCGTGTACTATGAGCACCATCTCCCTGGGGAAGAGAAGGAGGGCGCAGCCTGTGAACTTTCACCCCACCCCGTGTCAAGCCGACTCCCCTCGCCACGGTTCTCCTTCAGTCCTGTCAAAGAGTGGAGTCCTCACAGCGGCGTCAAGCCTTGTCCACGAGGCCTTGCTCCATTCTTAGAGGTCCGTCCCTCGCACCTGCCAGCTTAGGGCTCCGCCTCCCGTCACAGGGACTTAATTGCTTCCCTCGGTTCCTCTCCCTTCCAGACTCTATCTTCCATCCCAGCCTTGTTCACCACCCCCCTGTCGCGGAGCCTAAATCATCAGTCCTCTTCCTACCTAGCCCCACCTCTGAGTACCACAGCCTAGTCTCACAGGGCTCCGCCTCCCCACAGGCTCCTCCCTGAGACAGGCCCACCATGTCTCTAGCCACCCCAGATCAGTTTCTCAGCCCCCCTCGGCCCCGCCCACTGCCCTGACCTCACCCCCGCGGGCCCCGCCTCCTCCTTGAAGCCCTCCTCTTGAGTGACCCGCCCCCTCTTACCAGGGCCCGCGCCCGCTGGTCCGCCAAGCCCCGCCCTTTTTGCGGCCCCCGTTGTGCTGCTGAACCCGACGTGCGGGGTTGACGGTGAACCCCACGTAGACGCGGCCCCGGTGCCGAGGATTCAGGCAATAGAGCAGGTAGACGCCGAAGAAGCGCCCGGGCCTCGTCGCTCCTCCCGCGGGACCCATCAGGACTTGTGGGTTGATTGCTGCGGCCACTGACCTCGGGGAGGGTTGGGTTGCCAGGGCCGCAATATACTTGTCTACGAAAAAGCACTTGGGGGCGATTCCGAGTATCCTAGAGGCTGCAGCAATGCGGGTTCGTGCACCCTTTCCTGTCTGGAGCTAGGGTGTCCACACCCGCCCACGGAACCCAGGCCGCTGTGCAGGCGGCGAACACCAATTAGCTTCGGCTGGGGCCGATTCTGTCCGTGTGCAGACTCTGATTGGCTGACTGGCGGGATCCCAGGACGGTTGGAAAGCTGGGCTTGCGTGAGGGCGGAAGTGCTGGGGTTACGGACGCCTCAGTAAGGGCGGAAGTAGAGGCCTCAGCGGAAGTGGCGCCGGCAAGGGTGGAAGTGGTGTGACCGGCGTGGGATCCGGGGTTCTGCCCCGGCCGGGCTGCTGCTGCTGTCGCTGGGCCGCTGCCATGGAACTCAGCGCCGAGTACCTCCGGGAGAAGCTGCAGCGGGACCTGGAGGCGGAGCACGTGGTGAGTGGAGCACCCTGGACTCGCCCAGCGAGGGGAAAGGGCTTCTGGGCGGGCGGTTTGCACCATCCACACGATTCTACCCCATAGGAAGTGGAGGACACGACTCCGAACCGTTGTGCGTCCAGCTTCCGAGTCCTGGTGGTGTCGGCCAAGTTCGAGGGGAAGCCGCTGCTCCAGAGACACCGGTGAGGCCCGGGGAACACCTCGCTCCGCGCGGCCCCAGCTCCGGGACCGCACCCCCTGCCGCTGCCCGCAACCCAACTCCCTCACCCCCGCCAGTGCGGCCCGGCACCGTGGACTACGACCCCAAGGATTCGCCTTCTCGGCCTCTGTATGGAGTATTGAGACCTAGGCCCTCTATCTGTCTTGTTCCCAGGACCTGGAAACACCTCCAGCCCCCTGGGTCAACCTAGCTTGGGAACTGTGACCCAGCTTTCTGCCATTTCCTAACCCCATCTCTCCCCCAGGCTGGTGAACGCGTGTCTAACAGAAGAGCTCCCGCACATCCACGCCTTTGAGCAGAAAACCCTGACCCCAGAGCAGTGGGCCCGTGAACGTCAGAAATAAGGGACGAGGACCTGCACAGCCATTAAATTATGAACGAGGGACAGCTTCTGTGTTGGTGTGTTGTGTGCGGGAAGGGCACTGAAACTGTCTAGGACCTGGCATCTCCCTGCCCTGCCACTCCATTGTTTTACCTTGGGCAAGTCCCTCTCCACATGCTGGCCTCTGTGCCCCCACTTATAAAGTGAAAGTTCGATTCTTAAAATCCCTTTCATGGCAGGTCTCACAGGCCTTTTCTGTAATTCTTGGAAGACTCCTAGGGGTACTACCGTACCCAACCAGCCCACCTATGTATTGGCCATTGCTGGGTGTCCCTGCCCTCTGCCAGCCTTCAAGATGCACAGATGAGAAAGTGCTCAGGGTTTCAGGGTGCTGGCCAATTTACCAGACCTTTTCCTCTCACCAACATCACTCTACTGTCGGAAGCATAATGGAGGATTCCACACTGCCCCTGCAGGTTCCCTGAGGGACATGGTACCCCAGCAGGGGCTCTCCGACTGCTGGAATGTTGATGCCTTTTTGGCCCATTGGAGAAGATCCAATGACATTTTAGCCCTGGGCTTAGTGTGGCCACAGATGCCTTTGGGAAGACCATGAGATTTTCAGGAATGGAGGTGTGGGTAGAGCATAGGAATAGGGATAGAACAGGAAAATAAGGCAAACCTGAGCCACAAAATTGGGACAGATGATACCTCTAGTACCAGCTTAAACACAAGTGCTAGAATTGGTAAGGCCTTGCACTGATGAAGTCCCCGAAACACAGTTGGGGCCAGGGCTCTTTGGGAATATGAATCACAGGTTTTAGCCATCCCATCCACCTTGTTCTGTGTTTTCAAGGCCAGTTTCTTGGCTTCTACATTATTTCTACCCCACCTCACTCTTGTTCCTATCAGAGGGAGAATGAGTTGGGAAAACTGGAAGTCATGGTGATGGCAGATTAACCCTTCTGGGTTCCAGGATCCTTTTCTGAGCTTTTTTCCAATTCTGGGCCAGGAGGAGAGCTAGTGACAAGTCCACTCAGAAAGGCCCATCCCCATTGTACAGGCGCGGTTCAGAGAAGGAACATCACCTCTAACGGGCCCAGGCTCTAGATTTTCTGACTCTTATTACACCCGATTGGATCCACCCACTGGGTTCACACAGTTGTAGTGGTATCCCTCCCCGTTGTATCGATGGGTAACTGGCCTGGGAATAGGTGACTTGCCCAGGGTAACATGGCTTGCATAGAGGGTGGGACCGAAATGGGCAGATGGACAATTTATGGCTGCCCCACAGCTCTCTGCCTAGGTGGTTTTCTCTGGCATGCTGAAGAGGGAGAAGGTGTGGTAGGAACCAAACCCTGCTGTGGCCAGGACACCCATTTCTTTCTTTTTTTTTTTTTTTTTAAATCCTCACCTGAGGGTATTTTTCCATTTTTTGTACAGATAGAATGGGAGGGAGAGAGAGAGAAACATCGATGTGAAGGGACACATCGAGTGGCTGCCACCCGCACGACCAACCAGGGCCGGGGACAAACTGCAACTGAAGTACATGCCCTTAGCGGAAACCGAACCCGGGTCTCTCTGGACCGCAGGCCGACACTCTAACCGCTGAGCCAAACTGGCCAGGGCAGGACACCCATTTCTAATAGCCTGTGTCCCAGTTCAGGCGGTCACCTGCTAAGTTGGGTATCGAACCCACTTCCAAGCCCCCACATGAGAGGGCCTGACAGGTCTGTTCAGATCCCTTTCTCAGAGGCCAGGCCCAGGCAGAACCCACTGTAAGGGCACAAGAGGCAGCAGAGCTGCACAGGGAGGGCTCTAACCTAGAAGGGGAGACGAGACATGACTCAGGACCTGCCCTTCAGCAAGCCCATCGACTAGTGCCTCAGTTTCCTCACCTGTAAACCAGGGTTGGGCCGTTGCTTTGGTCTAATCCAGTGGTTCTCAACCTGTGGGTCACAACCCCTTTGGGGGTCGAATGACCCTTTCACAGGGGTTGCCTAAGACATAACAGTAGCAAAATTACAGTTATGAAGTGGCAACAAAGGTGATTTTATGGTTGGGGGTCACCACAACATGAGGAACTGCATTAAAGGGTCACGGCATTAGGAAGGTGTCTTTCTCCTTAGAAAAGGACCCCTGGGGCCTACCCTACCGTTTGAAAGATGTCATGTAATATCTGGTTGTTCATTTCCCCACAAGCGACAGTCAGTACAGTTGCATGTAATCTGATGTGGTTGACTAGAAAAGGCGAGTTTGGGGTAAACATGGGAGTTCTTGAGACCCCAGGCTGGGGCCGTGAGTAGCTCACACCTGGCAGCTGGAGAACAGCAAGCCCTCAGCCCGCACCAGAAAGGGGGCTCCCACCCACCGAACCTGTTCCCTGGTCTAGGGCATTCCAAGGCACCCCTCAGCCCCTGCCGTGGGTCAATCTCATCAAGGTTTCTGAGGGGGAAGCTCAAGGGTATGTCGGTTCAGCACTCAGGTGCCCAGTCATCAGTCTGAGAGGTACCAGAAAATAAAGCCATTTTATTATTGTATCTGCCACTGTGGCCTGAGGAGTGGAATGTGACTGGAAGGGGAGGGAGGCAATGCCATGGGCTCCAGCTGAAGGCCCCACGTCTTCTACTTGGCCTGGACTGTCTCCTCCAGCCTGTCCAAGCGCTTCTGTAGCTCCTGCACTGTGGCCTGGAGCTTCCTCATCTCCTCCTCCAGCCGGGACACGACGTCCTGAAGGACCCAGCACTGCATTAGGCCCAGCTCCATCCTGCACGCTCCTTACCCTGGCATCCACTGAGTCTCCTCCCAAGAGCCCAAGGGTTGGGACCTTCTGTCTCAGCCAGTTGCTGCCCAGAGAGCTAGAGGCATGTAAGCCTGAAACCTGTTTTCCGCAGCCCCAGGATTTTCCACTGGTCAATGACCACATCAAGAGCAGCCCCTGCCCTATCCTGTCTTTCCACCCTGACTCCAGCCTCCCATCCGCCTCTCACCGAGCTTGGAGTGCCACTGGTCTCTGGTACTGTCCTCCTGCGTCCAGTGTCCAGGCCCCGGTTGACCCTCAGCTCCCGGCTCTTTGGGGGCATGTAGCCATCCTTGAGGGAAATGAGGAGGGCCCCAGCATCCCGACCCCCCAGCCACTCCTCAGCTGTGAGGGCAGCATCAGGCCCTGCAGTGGGTGGATACAGGTCCTCCTGGAACAGGTCCGACTGTGGGCAAGGCCAAGGTTGGTTAAGAGTGTGCTTAGGCCACACCACCACCCTGCAGCTCTGCAAGGTCAGTGCCCAGCCCAGAGCCCAGGGAGGGACATGGGGGCATCACCTTTCTAGGCACTGTCATGGCGATGGGCTCACACCTCCGCTCGTGCAGTTTGTAGAATCTGTGGAAACAGGAAGGTGAGCAGTGCCCACAGCATAGTTGGGCTGGGACTGAAGGTCAGCGCTGAGTTCAGTGCTGCCCAAGGAACATGTTCAGGACAGGGTTAGGGGTCAGTCACCTGGCAATCTCACACTTGTTCACCTCCAGGCCACGTTTGGGCATGTAGCCCATGCCACGCTGGGACTCCTTGGAACTGAACATGGAGAGATAGTGCAGGAATGGGGCCTCAGAAGTGATCTCGAAGTACCGAATAGAGCTGTCACCCTGCAGGTGGTGGGTGCAAGGGAAGATCAACACCGACAGATGCCTGCAGCGTGGTCGTTTCCAAGCCCTTCTGCCCACCTCCCTCCCCTGATCCCCTTGCCCAACTGGGCCACCTTGCCACAGAGGTAGACAATGTTGGTATCAGGGTCAAAGAAGGGCAGCAGGACGCCGCTGCTTGTGTCCAGCTCCTGCAGGGACAGCGGCTCCTCTAGGTGCTTCTGTAGAGACATGTGGGAGGTAACTGAGTTAGGCCACATCAGACCCCAGGGTTGGGGGGACCTTTACAGACCAACCAGTGGAAACTCTCATCTCACTGTGGGTAAAGGGGCCCATGGGCATAGGGCCAGGCAGGTTGGAGGGCAGGGACTAAGCCTCCAGGCTTCAGAGTCTCCGCACTCACCATGTCCCACAGCGCCACCTGCCGCTCACTCATGCGGCTGAATCCCGTGGTCAGGATCTTTCCTTCGGAAACGAACACAGCTCGCACAGGCCGGGTCCCCTCGTGAGGACGGTCCTTCTCCTGGAAGGAAAGGAGGTGGTCTGTCAGACACCCATACACACACCCTAAGGGCCAGACCCCAGCCAGGGACAAGAGAGGAGAGCATCTAGCAGCCCCGTTGGTGGTAGGTAGGAGGGGTGAAGGTGTCTGGGTCAAGGGTCACAGTTCAAGGCAACTCACAGCTACAATGGTGCCTTTGCGGGGCTCGATGATGCGCACGCGCTTGTCGCGGCAGGACGTACAGATGAGGGCGCCGTCTCGGCTCCAGTCCACGCTGTAGATTGTGTCCGGGTGCACATCGGCGCCCAGCGTCAGCACGGCCGCCCCAGTGCCCACGTCCCACACCAGGATCACGTTGTCGCAACCTGGGTAATGCCCAGTGTCAGAAGCCATGAGCCAACCCCCTAGCTCTCAGGTGACCGGCCACCCCTCTTCTCCCCCCAGGCACCTGCACTGAGCAGCACATTCTGGGCTGTGGGGTGCCAGGCCACGATGCCCACACGCTTGGTGTGGCCCTCCAGGGTGACGACAGGCTCCCGCAGGGGCAGCGTCAGGCCCCCATCTGGGATCTCCCAAACCTGCAGAGAAGAGGCGAGTGAGTCTTGGGCACTCCAATGTCAGATCCCAGCCTGGAGCGCCCTCCTTGCCCATGTCCCCACCACCACTCACCATGACTGTGCAATCCTCGGAGCCACTGGCAATGACATTATCATTGTGTGGGCACCAGGCGATGTCCAGCACCGGGGCTGTGTGGCCACAGACCGTGGGCGCATTCTTGTCCACACGTCCAGTCTGGAGGACACAGCACCTCTGAGGGAGGTGCTTTTGCCCCCCAAGCTCAATCCAACCTCCCCACACCCCTTCAGAGCTGCAGAGAGAGGAAGGCTGCAGGATCCCTGGGAAGTGGAGCAGGGCCTA